ATATATATTAAATTATATTACATTAATTTTTTTCAAAAATAAATATCTTCAACAATACACACGTTTTCGTGCATAAACTTTAGTGGTAAGGAAATTAAAGAGGACAGCAATGTCGATTGCAACATGTTTAAAAAGCGAAGTGACTAGACGCATCGTGATTTCGTGCACGTGATTTGAATTAAAATCGTCCTTGCCGAGTAACGTGCTCGCGCGAGCGGTATTTTCGTCTTGGACGATTAAGCTCGCGTTTATAGCGAAAGCAAGCGAGTTGACGATTACAATCGAAAATCTCGCGTTACAACGGGCTGTAGTAATATTTTTCTTTTTTTATCTTCGTGAATCAAATTACAATCTGATTCACGTCCGCATTGAATCGCTCGCTTGCAATTTCGCGCCATTATCTTGCCAAGGTCGCGAGAGAGCAGTGACACAGTTTGCTTTCGCGGATAACAATGCATTCATTCTTGCGCGCTTCCAACGAGGATAACGGTACAATTTCGATTTGAATTTCGAGAAATCAAGTGCACACGTTTTAATTAGATCTCTGTAATTTTCTTGCGTTTACCGGAAGGGTTTGGTACGCGAATAAATGAACATCGATAAAAAAATTCACATGCTTTTTCAAACTATCAAGATTGAAAAAGACTTGCGAAAAATCGTTTTGAATCGTACGTTTAATTCTGTAAACACCGTTCGATTTTAACGTAAGAATTGTGTGCGATTGTTCGTTTTGATTTTTTTTTTTACATCTCGTGTTTATATTATTATATTTTATATACGTTACACGCGGTCGAATCAGAGGCGGACCGTTAACTTTGGGGACCTTAGGCTAACACTGTTTACCTGTTCCAGTACTTGGAATTATTTTTAGTGCAAAAAAAAGTTGGTTTTGCCGTTTATTTTTGACCACGAAGAGGCCCTTTTGATTGAACGGGGTCCCGGGCTGCAGCCCATAAAGACCATGCCTAAATCCGCCTCTGGGTCGAATTTGTTTCACGACACACGCGTGTGCAATCAAGAAAACGTAACTTACATTTTCGTCCTCTCATGTCACGAGACTATCATCTCCTCTATCGATCCATCACATCGAGTTTTTTTCACGCAGTCGTCGGCAGTGGTCGCGTGTACATCGACGTGTGGTCCTCCTCTCAAGCTTCACATTACCCTCGTCGAGCCACCCCGCAAATGATCGACGTGCCGTAAGAATTCGATTGTGAGGACAAAGAATGCGAGTGATGGACTGATAGAGAAATGCGCGAATCTCCTTCGGATCGTTTCGCGAACCACGCTCGAGAGACGAGCGAGAGAGGAACGAGAGGAACCTCACGGTGAGAGGCCGGCGCGCGACTGTTCCAATGCACGACGGATTCCACTTGGAATTACCTGTTCTCGCGCCCACCACCATGAGACGGACCCACACCATCTCGATGTACAGCCGAGAGAGTTTTTATTCGGGAATATTGCGGGGAGGAATCGTTGAAGAACATTGTAATGATCTAAGTAAATGCGGAACGAGTTTTGAGGAAGACTTATTTTGGCAAACGAGACAACCTCTGTCGATTAGAAAAGAATCAAACGAGCGTTGAATGTAGCATGAAGACGATAGAAAGCAAACGAAAATGGAAAACGAAGTGGAACCGAGTGCCAAATAATTTCTGGACAATTTTCTGCGCGAACGCAATACGCGCGTGTGCGTGAACAAATTTATTTTTATTTATATTTTTTATTTCAGAAAGATCTGTAACATAAAAGAACTGAAACGCTCACCGAGGGTCAGTGTAAGTAGAAAGTTTTGTCTCTGTTAGATAATTCATTCGAAATATCAGCAGATAGCTGTGTGCTATAACGAACTTGAATTTCGCGCAACTGCGAGTGGAATAACATTGCGCAACTGTTTTCATAATCAAGTTTTATTTCGTATGTGCATTTTTATTAAAAAAAAAAAAAAGAAATTAATTTGATTACAATTGCTTGCATGAGAAGCAACTAACATTCGTATAAATATGCGATGGCTAGAAAAAATTAAATATGTAGTTTTGTTGAAATTAAATAAGTAATTTCGAATGTATTTGTGTACATATGTTAAATTCTAACTTAACTTAATATACTTAGAATGCTAAAACTTAGAGCTATATGTTTGTCTTGTGTTATTGGATCAATCGATTATGCAATTTCAGAGAATTGGTGGATGACGCGCTTTGACAGGCCAAAAAAGCCGAATCAGAGAGATGATGTGTGTTCTTAGCTCATCATAGCTCATTTAGGACGCAGATTCGCTCGGTCCGCTTAACCTCCCGCGATGCGTGATTGAACGAACACAACGCGGGACTTGCGAAATTTTCAAAAGCATTACTGAACGTCGTTGCACAAGAAAATAATTTACACCTAAATGCCATTATCTAATTCCCGACCAATCTCTCTGCGTAAAATACCCCGCCTCGTTTTTGCTTCTCAAAAATATTACTCTCCTCTCGTTCTGTTTTTTTTCTTTCATCTGCATTAGATCATTATTATTAGTTGCGCCATTGTCGTAATCCCGCGTTGGCTGAGTAAAGCGAGTGAGTTTTAAAACGTTTACGACTCTAAATTACGGGGTCGCGAGACAATATGCGACGACGACATCGCGCAACAAAAGCTGCGTCAGGACGAAAGGAAAGGAAAAAAGTAAGAGAAAGAAACAACAACATAGCCCGGACGCATATAATGACAGTGAAAGGATCGTGACTTTGCCATTGGTCGCGAGGGAAACCGGGGATATTATGCGCGTTCGTTCGCCGCGGCGTTCGCGATCGGCTGTTCACCTATGACAGCCGCGCTGAAAGACCCAAGACTCGGATCGAATCGGAAATGCCGACGGCGTTTCCGGAGATTAACTGTCATCCACGTGAACGCGAAAGGTCTCGCGGAAACTCGAGACGCAGAGAGAGAGCTTTAATGTCTACGGTGATTGTTTCTATACAATTTTGCCGTCACGATTTGATGAGAAATTTTTTCTTCTACATTTTTATCCTTACGTACAACTTTTTGTATCGACAAGATAGACTTTTCAACAATTTCCTCACGCGCGAATGTCAGTTAACAAATGTGAAGAGAGCGATTGACGTGTTCGAGTGTCTTTGTCATTATTTTATAAGTCTTCTATATCGAAATTGCGTTGTGCTCCGTATTGTGACAATGTTCCACGGTTAAGATCTGAGGCGCTTCTGCTATCAACGTTTTTGTCCTCTCCGGGCACAGAGTGACTCTGAAAAAATTTTATTTCCAATTGTAATAAAATTTATATTACATTTCTCGGTTTCTAGGTTAAATCGCTTCATCAATAGAGAACAAAAACAGTTTCGCAATTCTCACCGGTGATCAGTCTCGAGATTTTTAATTGTCAGCGAGTCGATATAGGCTCGCGGGGTGTTGAGTCTCCACGTGAGCGGGTTGAGGATCGATCTCTCGTACACCCAAGTGATCTCCACCGAGTCCGGTTTGTCAATATAGTCACCGGGCAGAACGACTGTGTAGGTGCTGCCTGGTTCGTAGTATCTCGGACTCGAGTTCAGTTGCATCTTCTCGGTTTTCTTGCCGTTCGCGCCGATCGCGCGGATGACGAACATCCCGACCTCGCCGCCGTACAACAAACTCTCGTCCGTTTTTGAGATGTTTATCGTTATCTTATAGTGACCCTCTGCGATTGTAAACATTTTAAATTGTTTAGATTTTCAACTATCCACTTACGGCAATTTCGAAAATATCTTGTCTCTTGCGAATTTCATTATCTTTTTTACAAATGAGTAAAAGAGTTTTACTTTGTAACTTCGTTATAAAATTCTTCCTCTGGTTTGAAAAAATTTACAAATCGTTAACAAATTAAATAGATATTAATGTTTTAAGTACGTATTAGTCAAACGAATTACTAACTGCAAAATGGTTTCTCGCGCCCGGTCATCAGGTAGACGGACGCGTGAAAATTGCCGGGCTGAGCGTCCAATCCTAATCTCGGACAATATTGGTTAACGCAATCGAAGCAGCCGCCTTCCTGAAACTGATCCCAGGAGCTACACGGAACGGCTATGAACGGACACGGACTGTTCAGGCTCTCAATAAAATACTCGTAACTGCGGATGTGATTGCATCCCAGAGATCTCTTGATTCCTGAGAAAAATAAAACATAAAAATATAAATAACAAAAGAAAACGAATGAAATTTAATAATAAAGAAGCAATCTACTGTATTAATTTTCCTTAAACGGAATGATTATTATTAAATGGTAAAAGTTTCTGCGGATGATTCTGGACGATGATGAAGTGATGAAACTTACCGCGAATGAAACTGCCGTGTTCCAAGGTGATGGAATTGAATACACCCTCGTTACAGCCGGGCTGATTGCGACCTCCGTTTGGATAGAAATCGATGTGTGCAACCGCTTGCGTGATGCCGAGGCCACCGCTGATAAAGGGATTGCAGTCCGTGTGAATGGCAGTCACGAATGTTGCGTCCGACGGATCTAGCCGGACCATCGGCGAGGTGTTGCTGAAGTGCGGTTCCGCCGGATCGAGGCCTTGCAAGTGAAATTGCAAACGTGACAAGTATTAGAGAGACACCGTTTCGGCAATCGTTACTGTTGCACGAATTTGGAAAAGGACACGTGTGAGGCGGCGATCGTGCCGGCGGAATAAATTTGTAGCAGAACAAACGCATTCCGCATTCGAATCAGCATTCTGAATTAACAAAAAGGCACGCGAGTGTGTTTTGAAATAGTATTTAGACCTTTGTAAAGAATCACCTTCATGTGTGTTCATTTGTTCGTTGCATAATGTGAAGTGTGTTTACATTTGTGTGAGAGAAGTTTCACGGAATAAGAAATGGAAATATTTCAAATTTTTTCGATTGGACTTGTATTTCCGTTTTTTAAAAAGACAGAAATGTTCTCGTAAAAGGACGCGTATGAAGGATATGTAAAGTGATATTCTGTTTGAAGACTGAAACGACACGAAATGTCACACAGGAACTGACATTTACACGCTCGAAAAATTAACAGATCGCGACGAGAATTTGACATTTGACGTCTGTGCGCGAACACGCTAGAGTGAAATCCACGACACTGTTACGCGAAACTGCGGAAACGCGTTGTTTTAAGGGTTAATGCGTACCTTGTTACAAGAATTCTAATGGACATTTAGTCTCGCTCGACTTGTAAGATACACGCACGATACATCTCATACAACACGTAAGAATTACCGAACATCCCGGCGTCGTAACGCGCATTACGCAAAGACGGAAGTTTATTGTCCAGACGATAAATTAAAAAAAAGTCTAGCTCGCGAACGAAAGTCCGTCGTTACGTCTAACTTTTGCGCGTATAACGCGATATAACAAGCGATTCTTGGACATCGCGGAATTATTTATGTGTTTTACGTCTCTCGAAAGAGCCGTTTGAATTACAAATATGAGTGACACTTTTCATAAATTATTGCTATCCTTTCGTACCAGTCGCTTCGATTTTGATTACATCATCAACCAAGCAACGGTATTTTAAGACAATTTATTACGCGAACTGATGTAACTGATTGTTATGCGACATCAAACACACGAGCCATCGTGGATTCGCGTACGTCTCTCGGGAAAACTAACGGTACGTAAAATTTGCATTAAAAAACATTTTTCTCACTTTTCTCTCGCACGTTCCCGTTAAATTTAAAACAGCTTATCCAGCTTGTAATCAAAGTTTTCGCTCGATGCGGAATTTGCTCGATCTCTCACGAGATCTTCTCGTTCCGCGTCTCTACGGATGATAATATCCCATTATCTTTCCCGTCCTTATTTGGAGGCCTATCCTTCTGCGATCCTCCTGCCACTTCTTAGGACAACGTGCTCTCTTATTCCTTGTTTACAGCAACCGCGTCCTCGGCCGATGCGGACCGCTAGAAACTGGTCGCTGTCAGAATCGGGAAACCCTCCTTTCTCTCGAAGGGGATGCCCTGCCTGGTTCTCGGGGTTGCGCCCGGGCGGAGAGAAGGGCGTCGATGCGACGCCCAACCCTCTCGGCGAATTCACGCTGAGGTTTGCCTCGCAGCCATCGCGATCACAGGCTACCCCGCCGTCTCTTTCTCTCTCTCTCTCTCTCACTCTCTCTTTCTGTCGTCTCCCGGCACACTTCGCGGCTTGTTCTGCTATCCTGGTAGTTCCCGATGGGATCGATAGCTTACGTAACGACGAAACCCGTCCGCCCCCGACAATCGGCCGCGGTTCGATCTCATTGATTGCGTCGCGGGGAAGGGAATTGTACAGGACGTTCCTGCCCCGCGCTGTGTCTGCTCTTATCTCTCGCTCCGAGTCTCTCGTTATCGACGCGTCGGAATTACGTAACACGCGCGACTTTTTGCAATAAAAACGAAAGCACGCGCGACGGAGGTGACTGTCACGCAACGATTAAGTGCTTCTGAACTTGCGACTTTTTAATTTCCGTCGAATCGCAAAGCCGCACCGCCGCTCGCGAGCTGAGTTGCTGCTTATATCGCGTTATATAAAAATTTATTTTGCGATAGCGCGAATCGCAACAGAAGCTTCGCAATTTTGCTAGCCGTTACGTTACACGCATCGCCGTGACCGCATCTTTTATTTACTCGCGTTTCAAAAATGTTCAACGATCTTTCCCAGAAGATAAATTTTTTTCTTTCTAAAAGAAAGCTGAAATGTTCCAGACGTTAAACGCGTACGATACAATCGAACGCGCGAACATCTTCCGTGTTTCTTCGCACACTTTTGCGCGCACATGCACTCTCGCCAATTGCGACTCGAGCTATTTGTTTATTAAAGTGTTAAAAAATACTAAACTAAATGATGCGTATGTCTTTTTTCATTTAGCTTCAGAATTAAAATAATTTCAAAAATAGAAAAAAAATTTCGGTAAAACAAAGCGTTTGAGTTTTTGTCGCCAGTAATTGCATGTCTCTCTCATTGTTCTTCGCGGTAATTCAATGCGATCGACTGGTCTTTTTTAACGCTCCTGCAAAGACTGCTATCCTGATCATCTGCGACTCGATCGCCTTTGCGCCTCGTCGCTCCGAGCTGTTTGTACAAGCGCGTAAGTTGACAGTGTTCGCTCGGCAGGTATTAAATATTGTCGAGCGAGAAAATGAAGAAAACAGAAGCTATGTCGCACATCTCTTTTAAGTACATTCTGTCTTATCTCGTTTGTTGTTTTTTCTCTTCTCGTTTTGCATTTTCTTACTGCAATCACTTGCATAAAGAGGCTTTTGACATCCTTCTGACGCAAGTCGGTTTTTCACGTTTGCACACAGACGCGGTATTTTTCTCTCGTTGCGCACAGATTCTTCGAGAACCGTTTTATCTAACCGTTTCTTTTTTTCTTTTCTACTAACGTCGACGTCTTGGTTGCAAATATTCGCGCGATTCTCTCGTTCGCAACGTGTGATACTACGTACAACGAGAGACGATATTATTTACACACACATCTCGCATAAATCTCGAAGTTTATCATCGAACTATAAGACGAGAAGTGAAATAACACGATACTTTTTTTTTTATACAATGCTTAACAACAAACAAACAACGCATAAAGTCTAATGTTTTATTTACCTGTAATTCGCCCGAGCTCGTACTTGTATTTTGTCCTCAAGTTGTAACCGACATAACCGCAAGTGTGAGCTCCCAGACTGTGGCCGACGCAGTGCATTTTCGAAGGCGATATATGTTCGACCTCGATCAGCTGGGCGGCCAGACGAGCTGTCATAGCGCCGATCAGACGCGTGTTCGCCACCGCTTGCGTGTAGGGCGGCTGCGAGCCGTGTTTCCAATTGACGATTATCACGTTACAGTCCTCCTCTCGCAAGAGCATCTCCTTCATAGTTCTCTATTAAAATGTACCGTATCATCAGCGAGGCGCTTGATAACAATGTTTAAATAATCGGGTTTTCTTCTAACATTTTTCTTTTAACAACGATAAAATATTTTCGCGCAGAGTTTTATGTCGGAAATAACAAAATGTTTACAGTAAAGATTATTTTTTTAAGAGAATTCGTTATTTGTCGCACTCCACCTCACCTTAACCCACGAATCGTTGCCGTTGTCGAGGAATCCATGAATAATGAAATACAAATTGCTCTCGTTGTTCAAGGGCGCTTCCCGAAGCGTTTCAAAGCGATCGATCTGAAGCTCATAGGGCCCCTCGGCGTCTCGTACATAGAGGGTGTAACGGGGGTCGATGAAGTCGGGGCGTGAGGGAAACATCACCGGTCTGTTACTCCCGGACCAGGGTGATCCGATATAGAAACACCCGTACGGCTCGTAGCATCTCCACATGTACCATTCTAATTAAGAATGAAAAATTCGTTTCCGTTATTTGTCTATGAAAGGAAGAGCTTCTAATAATCAAAGAGTGTACATGTTTCTTTGAAAAAGCAATAATAATAATCTAAATTTAATTCACTCTTCAAGTTTATGAAAGTTTAAGATAGAGATTTTAAAATTTTAATTATATATAGTTTTTTTTTCCATATAAAATACAATTTTATAAAAAAACAGAAACGAACATACAGTATGTGTATGTTATATTAATTGCGCCTGAAAATCGAGTAACATGCACCTGCAGATATCGGGCTGTCATATCCGAGGCGCTTTATGTCGTTTGTTAATTTTAACTTTTATTTTATATGTAACACTGGAAATTTCAATAGTTTCTGTTTTTAATTTAATTTTAGTATTTTACTCTTTATTTTTAAATTTTATTTGAACTTCACGTTAATTTAAAAAAAAACGATACACATAATTTTTGAAATATATGTTGATTTTAAACAAATCAATTTTTCTATCGCTTGTCATTCTGTCTGTATATATAGTTTTGACACAAACAGCGCGTCACCAGTCCAATATCCGGGTGTCTATCTAACCGCTGATGTGTCGTCTTTCGGCACATCGACCAATGAGAGCGCAAGCATTATTTACGAATTATACTGTTTCAGAGGTTATCTTCACGTTCGTAGTATCTGTCAGCACGCGCGGAGATGGCTTTATCAAGCTTTTCTCGGAAGAAGAGTCGCCGCTGTTGTTTTGTCTTTCTGGTGCTGGATTAACGCGATTAGCGCGGAATGCAAACGCACGTGACTCTGCGGCTCGCGTCCTTATTTTATTTATTACGAGTTCGATCGTCCTCCCGTCGAATTTATCGCAACAGACAATAAACGTGCTATTTTATATTCATTGGCCTTTTTCGTACTCTTTTGTGAAATTACAAAACCCCGGATGATTGATTGAGAATGGCGAAGAAAATTAAACGGAGATATCTCCGATATCGAGTTAACACTCACCATCGTCCAGATCGAATTTGTTCTCTTGCTCTTCCGGCGATAACGTTGTGGTCGTGACGTTCTGAACTGCGGTGTTATTCTCGGGCAAATTGGCTATTATGTTGGCTGTGTACGCCAAAACGAAGAGAGTCTCGTTGAGGAAGCTCATGTTGAAATATTCCTCGGCTGCTGACGGGATCTACAGTCGAGAATTTTTGTTTCTGACAAGTAAGGACGCTATCCCTTTAATAAGATAAGATTAGAGACGAATTCTGTCAATAATAAACAGACAAGAATAGAGAGTTGCGACTGTGAATTTCGATGATAGTTTTGATAATTTTCACTTTATACACAAGTTTTTAGTACTACGATCTATTCGTCACAAGTAATCACATTAGCTCTGACGTTTTCACAAAAGTCAAAAGTCCATCCGATTTTTCTGAACTAAGTATTGAATAAATTATATTATCACTGTTTTGTTTTTTTGCCTCTCGATATCTTCTCTACGCAGTTTCGATCGACGGTGTGATAGCTGCGGATTCAGAAACCTTTCTTTTTTTTTGTTTCTTACACTTCACTGCAATAGAATCTTCACGTGTAATAGAATCTTCTCCAGGAATCCTCAGTTCACCGAGCTGTCGTGGTCGGTTGAGAAATGAAATACTTCTTGTGTCACGTTTTTATTTCTTATATATTGCAACCGAACGTCCTTGGTCGTCGATTTTCCGAGAAGATCTCGTGTGAGGTCTAAATGTCTGTCTCGTTGGCGGGAAGATTCATTACTGCCGAGACTTACTACGTAAGTCGCGCGATAGTGGTAATAATATACAAATAGAAAAAAATTGATTGACGCAAAAGGAACGTGATATCACTCGCGTCGGCGGTGTCGATACATTATGCGTGTGTGTCCGCGTTTCAAAGCAAACGATCGTTCGATCATTCGGTCATGCGAACCGATGGACAGCGTTTATCTCGCGCCGATTAATTTGATTTGAATTTAACTCTTAACAATTTTTTTAAATTACTTTAGAAATAAATTCAATTTCGTTTGTTTAGACACTTGTTGAAACTTATAAATAATCTGCAATTTGAGTTTTCTCTCGTAAAAAATCGCTAGTTCCGCGAGTAACTCTCTTTCTCGATTCGTCGAAGATCGTGACGATTCTGCCGTAGAATCACATTGCGCAGAAAGATTAGAAAGGTGAAGCAAGACGATGACACGGTCACGCGGTCAAGTGTCCTCGATGATCTCAAGTTCACTGATCGACCACTTTAATCGTTCAAATTTTTTCTGACTCGTTTGGACTTCGTTTTCGCCCCACTCTCTGAGAAAAACTCGTCTGGTAACTATAGTTCGTTCTTTTATCTCTCGGCCGGTTTCGAACCGGAAAGAAGACTTTGACTCGTCAGTTTTGTGAATCTTCTGAACAATTACTCGGTGGAAATTGTTGTACAGATATGTTTGCCTTCATTTTTTCTATTTATTTATTATCAAAAGAGAAAATATTTTTAATTTTTATAGAGAACTGTGAGTACTTAAGACGTAATTAATAATTTTTTATATTATTATTTATGGTACTTTATATATAAAATAAAGATTATTATTAAGATTATTATTATTGTATAAAAACGCTCACAGATTATTTATAATTTTCTAACAATTTGTAGAATTTTTTTCGCGTGCGATTTCGTTAAGTTCTTGGATCTTTCGCGTTCTTTCAACCGTCACCGAACTTGAAGAGAACCCCGTCGAGACTGACAGGCTCACTAACTTCTCAACCAAAAGTAGCCTTGATTCATAAACGAAAGTTTAGTCATTAAGGACTGGTTCCACGGATTCTCGGACTGGGGATCGTCACAGAGAAAGCTTCAAAAGAGCCGCTCTTTCTTTAAAGGGCTTTTCATCTGTTCGTAGAAAAGCGTCTTCTTCATTACACGATGCCAACGCGATAAGTCCGCCTCGGCAGCTCGCGTCTAATTAGACCGGATATAAAAGCCAAGCTTGAGTACCCTCGTTAAGTCGTTCTTGTTTTTTTTTCTTCTCCAGCAGAGAACCGTTTCTCTGAAACTACAAAGAGAGTTTCCGCAACAGGTAACCTCGTCGCTCGATCTTTATTTTTCCAAGTTGAAGAGACGCGTGAGAAATGAATTGTGCGACTGCAAGAATATAAAGAATGATTTTGCGGATTTTTGGGATCTCACAATAGCTTGTTGAGTATCGAGGTTACAAGAAACGGATAGAAAATTGCGTCAAGCACCAGAACGAAGAGAATCTCGTCGAGGAAGAAGAATAAAGGGACTCGACCGTACTGACATTGCGCCAAAGAAAACATGGCTTAATTATGAAATACGTAAAGTAAGTTCGTTAGTTATCAAATAATAAAACGTATCGAAGCGCGATACGTCATCCTTTCTGTCTCTTCTCCCGCACGTGTAGCGGTGATTATTTATAAAATCCATCGTAAGAGGATACGAAAGAACAGGCTTCACATGAGGACTCTTCACACAAGAGGTCTTTTCTTTTCCGTCGGGGGTATCGACACGATCGATATACGGGTGTGGCGGTAAACCGGTAACGCACCATAGAATTGGCGGCGCGCTACTCTATGGGGTGCCATCGACCGGGAGCCGCCGTGCATAAACGAAACCTTACGTAATCCAGCATCCCCCTTCGCGAGTCACCCCCTTCCGTGGTGGTGAAAAATAGCCTCCTGGTCTGTCGTGAATCCCTGGTATCACGCACCCCTGAGACAAACTACGTGAGTTCGATCGGGCAATATCTTGCACAATATATTCAACCCCGTAAATGCGCACCGAGGACTCCTGGCTGCTCCTGCAGACTTGGTAGCCGAATCGTATGACTGTTGCATCGTGATTACTGCGAAAAGTATGAATGACAGCTGAGCGGAACGTCGGGGGTTGCAACCCTTATTGTATCGGTCTCCATACATAAGTGCCCGCGCTCGATCGCGCTTTGATCTTCATAAGCGCGCGTCCGCGTTCGCGTCCACGGGGTTTTACCGAACGATTTCAATGTTCTGCATTTTGCTTAAACTTCTATAAAAAATATTTAAATACATAATTGTTTTACAATATATTCAATAAATTAAAATTTCTTTTATATTTTTAATTATTTTTGAAAAAGTAAGAAATATTTTTTAAATACATACATATGTAATATTTACTTTTGCTTATACATATTATATTAAAATTATAAATAAAAAATATATTTATATATGTTAATAATTATATTTTGTTCAAATTACGTATATTAGTTCAAAGCCGTGCAATTCATGTACATCAAGCTTTGATGCAGATTTGTTTACGACAAATTCGTGGAAGTTACGAAAAACACTAATTTATTTCTCTCATTACTTAATTAATTATCTCATTCTTTAATTAATTGATCGTTATTTAATATCATTATATGTGTGCGATAATTTATGTGTGAAAAGTCAAGGTAGCAAGAAAGAGAAGAAAAAGAGATAGGAAGTCGGATATAAAGGCGTGCTCTCGTCGTTCGCACGTAGGTAGAGCAATTGCATGCCATAACGCCGGCTCTTTAATGATATGAACGACAGACCGCCGTCCCCCTTCGACCTCGAAAGAGCCCTTGAAATGCTCTTGCCAACCCCTGTTGCCCTGTTACATTGTCCTATCCGATCCCCATTCGTTTACATGCGCCTTCGTGCAGTGTCCTTCGAGCTCTGGTCGCGCCGCAAAGTAATTTACCTCGATATACTGGCTCGTAAAACAGCCTACACGATGCGCCTTCGAGCTGAACTGAATATTTATTCATCGATGCTTTATCACGACACAATGCAGTTTTAACCGACACATCGCATTTTACGCAACGCATGTAAATTTAATCGACAACGCTGCTTTTTTTCTATAATTATGTCTTCAAGTCTGTTAAAGAAAAAAAACAGAAACACGATAGAAATAAAAATATAAAATTTAAACAATTGTATCTTCGTTAACTACTTGACTTAAAAATAAGTTCTCAAAAATGATGACGTTTGATTAATCGTATTCGCGGCTGACGTTAATGCAATTTTAACGAGTAATTAATTAATTATTTATACACAATGTGTTTACGTGAATTTAGAGATGAAAGTTTTTCTTCATTTCTGAAAAATATTTGTTTGATGCAGCGTGCGTCATATGTATACCGCCGATGGCTGTACTTTGCACCATTATAATCAACTATCTCGTTTGCAGTTATGTATGTATCCTGGGCAATGTATCATCTGATAACGAGAGAACTCGCGTCGTGGGTCGATCGAGCGAGATGCTCTCCCGAAAGTGGCGATTGAGCGAAAAAATCCGTCAATAATCGACGCGTATACCGTTTGTAAGTTGCTTCATTTATACGATACTGATACGATAATAATATAATAAGAAGCGAAATGATTTGATAAATTCGCTTAGCAAAAATTTCATTTACTTCAAATAATTGTAAATGACATCGCGTAAAAATAATGTTGTGCGTTGACGTATTGTTTAGATGACACATATAAGCGAAGGCTCTTTGATAAATTATTATCTGTATATTTTTTAACACAAACAGAGAGAGAAAACAACGCGCTTTTAAGTTGCGCAAAAACTCAATACTTCGCGTAACGCCAACAAAACGTAGATCTCTCGCAAAATGCGATCTTGAGACGTTAGAAAAGAGAGTTCGCAATAACAAAGATACCGCAAATAGTCCATGTAAGTCTCTTGCGATAAATAAGATAAAAAAAACTACTTCATCAAAATTAATTAATCGAAATTACAAGTGTTCGATCGGTTCTTTCTCTCGTTCTTTTCCTTTCGATTTTATCTCGAGCATCGCTTCCGATCGTGTATCTCGCAGCCGCTCTTTCCACCTCGAGCTGAAGCTTCTCCGTCCTCATGAAACCCTGCTACGGATTTAGCTGTGTATGTCCCGTTTCTGTCCACTCGGCGCGGCGCGCACAAGATCCGGACGCGCTGAAGAGACCCGACGGCGACTATTTCGCGTAAGTAAGAGAATGACACAAGAGCTATACGTATGGATAGCTATATATAGATGAAGCTATAGATACACACGAAGCGTGCATTGCCTCCTAGCGTGCCTCAAAAGTGTGTCATCTTTTTAATACATGTAATGGTGTATAAAAAAAAAAACTCTTGCTGATTGTTGCTTGGCAACGACGTCGACGCAGTAGACAACGAAATGTTGTTTTTATCTTCTCTCTCTTTTTCTCTTTTTATCTCTATCTCGCACGTAATTGGAATCCTCTTTCGAAAACCAACACGCACGTTCCATATACATACAATATATGCTCTAAGCACGAGATACGACCCTGTCTCTTGACCCCGCGCGTTTGTCGGACACGAACGTCTTTCGTAAGGCCCTTGCTTTTCGATCGAGGAGACCTCGCTCGTCTTTATGGAATCCTGTTACAAATTGTCCTCATGGAATTCAGACATTTACTGCGAACGATCCGTTGTGATCGATATTTTACACACACGCAAGGTGTCGGCGAAGAAAACGAAATCCCCGCCGTTTGTTCGAGTCGAGCCAACAACAAAACGCGAAGGCTAATGCAGTCCCGCGCGTCTTTCCGAACCTTGCCCCGTCTTCATGAAATCCTGCCCGCAAAACGTTACGCACCAGAACTCCACTCGTCCTGAGATTCCGGAAATTTAAACATACGTATAACAATACGAACAGAAACGGGGGTCTCGACGCGCGAGCGAAGCTTGTGCGTCTTGATGAATTCCTGTTCCCGAGGCTCATCGTGATACTTACCAGACGCATCTGGAGTACACACGTGCCTCGTATGTACAACGATCTGCCAGCTGTGTGTCGGACGCTCTTCTCGA